TATGGTAATTCAAGGCAATTAGAAGTATTTACCTCCAATCGTGAATTATAAAATAATGATAAAGTTGAGCTGTATATATATATTAGGATCTCAACTTGATGTAAAGTAAATGAGCAGTTACCTGGCAGTTTTTTTTTTTTTAAATAACATTCAATCCATAATCCTAAAACATAGCTTCACTTCAATAATTATCTTTGTCCATTCAGTAACACTCCCATAATGAAATGGTTGATAGGAAATAGCTGAGAATTACTCAAGGATTTTATTTTTTATTGATTAGGAAAATAAGTTTCTAGGGTCTTGAGTGCTGGATTTTCTTTGTCTTTCCCATCCATGGCAGCTAAAAAAAAAAAAAAAAATCACTCAAAATATTCAGGTTTACATGTTAAGCTCTCTCACAGGGGGCTGCCATACCTCACAGTTCAAAAGTGTGTTCTATAATCAGTAACATTATACTGACATGTAATTGCAATTTACTATGCAGCAAGAAAGATTCAAGAAAAAAATAACATACAGTGTCTTTGTATAGGCTAATGCTTATGTGACTCTGCTTTTAACGTTTGTACTCAGATGAAATGCTTACGTGTGTATAGGAATGTCACAGTGCAGATGCTGCTAGCCCAGGCACAAAGTATTAAAATTATTTTGTGAAGACTGGTGGTTGTATTTAAACTGTTGTGCCATTATACCTCAAAAAAGAAAAGAAAAGCTCATTCATATTGCTTATGCCTCAGAACTTTTTACTTGCCTTCTAGGTTAAAGTAACCCAGTTTTACTCCACAGATCAAGAGTGAATGAACGTTCAATATTAAGACTGTTTCTTGGTGACACAACTGTTTCCTATAAAGGAGATTTAAGGTCTTGAACGCAGCTAAAGGGATTTATTGAAATATTAAATTTATAGAGTTTTACCTCAATTCAGTGGAAAAATAATAAAGCATTAAATTTGACCTTTTCATTATGTTTATTTAACATGGGTAAAAACCTAAGGACACTTTAGTCAAGGATACTGTTAATTTCACTAGAGACAGATCATTTCATCTGTATAAGCTGTCAGTAAATGCAGTCCACCCCTCTATTGTCAAAGTATTTCTATTGTTTTAGAAATCCAAAATCCAGTTGAAGTAATATAAAATAAGGCTGTTATGAACCATATAGTTCAAGAAAAGATTCAAGCAGAACAAGGTGGTGCATGCCTATAATCCAAGCACTTGAAACATTGTGGCAGGAACATTGGGGGGATCGGGTAGGGTTTCAAGATTATCCTCCACTACATAGTGAATTCAAGGCTAGCCTGGGCTACATGATACCCTATCTCAACAAACAAAACACAAGAAACACACAGGCAAGATTCTTACATGAGAGACTATTAATATAAACAAGTTTAATAACATGGAATGTAATAGAACCATTAATAAAGTTTCTATTTCTTCAACCTTAAAAAAAAAATCATTAAAATAAATAAAATCAAAACAGGACACAGTGACCACATAATAGTACCATTATAATCACACTGACTAGAAAAGCTTCCATCATTCTAAGGATGTGACAAAGGCAATGCCATACATTTTAAAATATTTCACTCGATCTTGTGTATTTGTTTCATAAAGATGTGACTCAGAAGAAAGGCTTTGGATACCCATGATAAGAAAAAATGGGGTGAGAGTACCTTTGCTGAGAGCTGCCAATTCACTTTTAAAGTACCTTTAAGTTTTCTTTTGGGTAATTTTAACAGATTAATAATTGTATTTAACAGATGAGACAGGTGGTACATTATCTATATAGAACTATACAAATATTTAGTAAAACAATTTAAATTGTTCTACCTTGCACCTTGTCACATTTTATGTTAATTTTCATTTCTTCTACTTTAAAAGACTGCCTAGGTTGTGTATACTAGGACCAAATATTTGGATGTCCAAATATAGTCATAATGACTATATCCAATTTCATGTAATATGTGAGAAATGATACAGTCATATATTTAGATGCTTCTCTGAAACAAAAATAATTTTATGAATATGATTAAGAAACTGCCTATTCAATATATTCTTTTTTAAAAATGAGCAGCACAGAGAGCAGACATAACTCTTCACTACCCATAATCTTGACTACCAAGAAATGAAGCCAAACTTTAGAAAAATACAATGCAAGAAAAGACTCAAGTTAAAAATATATTCCTTTGGTTAAAAATCATCCCCCCCCCTTATAATAATCATTTGTAATCTAGACTCACAGTTGTCCCACCAGCCCAGAGTAAGCTTCTAATATCATACTTGCAGTATTACAATTTTTTTCAGTCCAATACTTAAGGAGGTCACTGGGTTGCAGCAACAAAAATATTTTAATGCTAAAGCTTTTTAGCATTAATTCCTTTGACCACTGTATTTTTACTTTAGGTACCTCCGACACATGTAGTTTTCTTCAGATACTGCATATCCAAACTTTTTGTAGAAACCAACATTTTGTGGTAAACATTCAAGAGTAATCTTGTAACAGTTCAGTTTCTTGCTTAGCAAAGTAAGAGTTGATAATAACCTGAAAATTTGAAAAGGGAAGGGTGGGAGACAAAACATTAACCAGAATAGAGCTTGATAACAATATATGTCACATAAAAATGAAACATTTATTCAAAACAAGTCAATTCCAATGTTTATTTAAATATTCAAATTATATGTTGATTAGCCTCTAAATCACTGAAGCACTTTTAGCTTGTTTCAAATATATTTTAGTAGGCGTCAGCCTATTGATAAACAGAACAAATACTAAACTCCAGTTAGACCTTCTTTTCCTTATTGAGGAGGGACTGTAGGACAATGACACATGAAGCCCATGTGTAGTTGATACTCTCCTTCCACCTTTACATGGGTTCCAGGGATCAAACTCAAGGTTAAATTTCAAGTGTTTTCACCCTCTTATCCATCTTGTTGACCCCTAAACCCTTTTTAAATTTTTAAGAATTCACATTAATGAAATCACATTAATGAGAGGCACAGTGGTACACACTTGTAATCCCAGCACTTGGGAGGCTGAGGCAGGTGGATTGCTTTGAGTTCAAGGCCAGCAATTTCCAAACTGAGGTGTAACTAATACAGTATTTCACTTTTTCGTTAAATTCAGTCTAAGATATAGAGTGAGAATAAGTTCAGAATTAATGAAGCTCAGAAAGAACTTCAACCAGAAAAACTTTCTAAAAGAACTATCTTGGCAAGAAACCAAACTCACAGAGTACCTAAAATCACCTAGGGTTACCTGCTGCTTCTTACTTACAGTTTGCCAAGCTGTTTTCCTCTGCATTCATCACTAACAACAACGTCTTCTACTCTTCCTCTCTGAAAATATTTACAATATTTAAGGAATGAGTATTGAGTTTGTAGCTAAACCAATAAGTGATCATTGATAAAAACTGATTTTTTTTTTACTTTACCTAGAAGAAATGTATAATGAAATCAACTTGTGCCTTACTGTTTTGCTCTTTTCCCAACTTTACTATTTAAAGCAGAGGTCGGAATTCCTGTCACCGAAGTGTAATCTTGTCATAAACATAGTATATATCCAACTTACTTATTAGCAATTTATTTCAGACTTCCAAGCAGAATTTGCCAATTTCTAGAGCAGAAACCCCATCAAAATTCATAAACCACAAGTAAATATACTTCTAAACATTCCGTTTAAAAAAAAAAAAAAAACATTTATTTTGTGTGTGCACATGCACATGGCATGGCATACCAACAGAGGTCAGAGATCAACCTACAGGACTTGCTCCTCCTTACAACATGTGGGTCCCAGGGAAGCCTAGAACTCTGGTCATTAGTCTTGGCAACAAGTGCCTTTACCTGCTGAGCCATCTTTCTGGCCCATCTATCTTATTTTCATTGGGTTATATAGAATTGTTTTGTTTTTTTAACTTTTCCATATGAATTCATTGGTAAGAAAGGCTACCACAAGCATTAGAAGTGTCAACCAAGCCCACTGTAGTGGCGCACGCCTTTAACCCCAGCATTCGGGAGGCCCGAGGCAGGCGATCTCTGTGAGGCCAGTGTGGTCTACATAGCAAGTTCCAGGTCAGCTGGGGCTACAGGGAGACCCTGTCTCAAAAAAAAAGGAAGTGCCAACTTTTACCAATGGAAACAACCTAAAAAAAAGTATTGTTTTAGTTTAAATGTATCAGGTAGCCTGTAGCCTGGTGTGGTGCACACACCTTTAATCCCAGTACTCAGGAGGCAGAGGCAGGTAGATCTCTGTGAGGTGAAGGACAGGCTGGTCTACAGGCCAGCTGGGGATATAAGTAGACCCTGTCCCAAAACAAGAAAAAAAGTTTAAATACATCAGCATAAAGTACCCTAAATTGTATGATACCTGGGGTGTTTTTTTGTTTTCTGACTGTATCTAATGTCGTTAAAGAACAGTACTAGCAAGTAATTAGTATTTTTTTCTTTGTTTTGAGACAAGGTCTCACAGTGTGGCTGACTTCAATCTCACAGAAGATCAACCTGCCTTTGTCTCCTGAGTGCTGAGATTAAAGGCATACACCACACCACACCCAGTGTATTTGCCTTTTATAACTCTCAGAAACATACCAGAAGTGTTTGTTGCTAGTTTCTAAGAAGCAATGAAAAGTAGTAGAAAAACTGATTTTGCTAATTCAACTCCAAAGTCAGTTTCATTAGAAAACATTCTGCATTGTTCCTAATGTGTTTTAATGTGAGCACATACCTTAGCACAGGAATGGATAAATTTATGCTCTATTATCAGAGTTGCTGTAGCAACAATTTGTCCTAGAGTCACGTCTTCCACAACTGTGACATAATAATCCCCAGACTTCTTCATATGCTCAAAAGATTCTGTGGAAATTTGAAAACAAAGTGTTCTATTGATTGGCCCATGCATTTAAAGTCACCTGCTAGCAGGTTTGGGATGTAGCTCAGAGGTACTGATTTCAGTACACAGAATCAATCTCTCTCTCTCTCTCTCTCTCTCTCTCCCCTTCCCCCTCTCCCTCTCCCTGTCTCCCTCTCTGCCAGCAATTTAAGCTTCAGTATCTTCCTTAGATTATATTTCTTTAAATTTTACACTCAACAGATACTCAGAACAAAACTGAATTTTCACAAGAGCATATTGGTATCCTGTAATTCATAGTCTTGGTTTCAAAATATTTTGAAAAAACAGTTTGCAGTTTACCCTTGTTTTCCCAATGTTTTATGATGGTTTTGTTTCTCTTAGAAACAGAATGGTTTGCTTTGAAAGCACCTTATAAAGGTGAAAGATAGGCCCTCATTTCAAGCAATTTTTCCAATGTCACAAAACAGTATAACCAAAGCTACTTTTCCCTCATATAATATTTAGTTCTTATATTGATTAAAAAAAACATGATTCTTCATTTAATCTGATAGGTCTGCAAAAAAAAATTCCAAAGTTAACCAAAACTAGTAGCTTTCACATGTTGTTCATTTCCAGAGTCTTATTCTACAACAGGTCTCAAGTGAAAAAGAATAAATCCAATGTAGGAAAATAAATACAACTATACAATGATGATCCTCATTCTCAGTAGAGTCTGAGAACAAAGTTACCTAATCAAGGAATTGAGTAGAAGCCAGGAACAGGCTGTTTTGTGTTGGAGGGTTTCAGTTCCTTCCTACAATAATTAACTGTGATCTTGGGTATGACTGGTTCTCTCTGGATATCCATTTTCTCATATGTCTCAAAGGGGGAGGGGATTGTTAATCTAAATACCTGCCAACCTTGAAATTCAATATACAAGCAAAAAAGTTTTAAACATTTAATAAAGATCAAGAAAACAGTTGGAACATACACTCTTGCACTTTTTAAATTTGGTAATAAAATTTCTATTAACAATCATATGGAAGCATATACTAAAACAAAAAAATTCTAAAGCCGGACATGGTGGCACACGTCTTTAATCCCAGCACTTGGGAGGCAGAGGCAGGCAGATCTTTGTGAGTTTGAGGCCAGCCTGGTCTACATAGTGAGTTCCAGGACAGCTGGGGCTACCAGGAGACCCTGTCTCAAAAAAGACCAAAAAAAAAAAAAGACAAAAAAACTTCTAGAGCTGCTCCCTAGGAATTCCCTAAAAGTAGTCAGGTTATTTTACACAACAAAGGTAATTACTACATTTGAATTCTAAAACAACTAAGCTATTTCAGCTATAACAACAAAAAAGGCACCAAACAGAGCTCTAAACAAGTCTTATTTCCTTTTATCTTTTATCATTCAGGAAAAAGATTCTGTAGTACTTACTCATAAATTGTTCAGGGCTGACGACGCCAGTCTCTGTCAGCTGACCCAGTACCTTAAAAAAACCTAGTTTTAAAACAGATTCCAAGTCAGGAGAAGAGCAAAAGATAAATAACATGAAAAGCAGCAAAATGTTACCTGGGGTAGGATATGGAAAATTACTTTTTCCAAATTCCATAATCATATTTCTATAATCTTTCAAATTTTTTGCTGGCTAAACATGCAAATTTTAATCAATATCCACTGTGGATATTGATTGTACATTGTAATTTATGTCAAGTTTGATATGAGACCGTATTTTCCTAAATACATGATTTAAAGCAAGATTCTTACTATGACCAAATATATTACTTATAAAATATAACTAATATAACATTGAGGAAATTTTAAAATATTATTTTTATTTTATATGTAATGCCTGCATGTAGGTGGGTGCAATGCCCTTGGAGGTCAAAAGAAGTTGTCAGATCCCCCGGAACTGGAGTTGTTAGCTGCCATATGGGTGCTGGGAATTGAACTTGGGTCCTCTACAAGAGCAAGAGATCCTAAGATATCTCTCCAGCCCCTGAGGCAATTTTTAATTTTTTAAAATTCGAATTTTACTGAAGTTCATGATAAAACAATATTTAGGACTTTTGCCTTAATTTTTCTATACATAATAATTCAGACCAAAATACCATTTTCTTCAGCTTTCTACCTAGAAGAAAACTGTGAAGTGATTTTTTTTCTTTTATTACCAAAGTTTAAGAAAATTATTTTGGATAATTAAGATGTTAAAAAAAACATAGAAAAACAAACAAACAAATAAATAAAAAATACATAAAGTATGCCTGTCCTGGTGATGCACACCTTTAATCCCAGCACTCAGGCAGAGGCCAGCAGATCTGAATTCCAGAGCAGCTGGCACTATAGGGTAGGGAGACTGTCTCAAAGACCAAAAAAAAAAGACAAACCCCCTTTAATTTGTCCAAGGAAAATCCTCTATCTGCATTTCCCATCTAGCTTCTTGGATAAACCTCTTCCATATGTTTTATACATTACAACTTCACTTCTGTTTGTGAGAAGTCCTTTTGGAGGGAATCCTACTGAGTTACTTGAAATACTTCACAGTAAAATTTGGTATTGGCCATAATATATATTCATTACAATTGAGTACTCAGTCACTGTAAATTTTTAAGTACAAAAACTAAATTCTGTTTTAAATTAGCATATCATGTTCATAAGTTAATCGAATTACTCAGGATTTGCACACCAAAGTTGTGTCCATACCTCTATTCAAGTCAGCAGTACAAAGAGGCCTCAAAACCAAGCCTTCTCCAGGATGTGCTGGAGAAATGGCTGGAGAAAATGTGGCTGTATTCTGACTCCAGTCCACTTCTTTGAGAAGAGTTGGGTCAAACATAGGTGTTTCATCAGGTTTCATCCTTCCAGTGTAGCCTAAAAGAAAATTTTAAAAGTTAAAACACTATTGTTTTACTTTAAAATTTTATATTTATTTCCTGAGACCAGGTATCAATGAATGTACTTGCTACTGAGACCAGGCTGGCCTCAATCTCACAGAGTTCCACCCACCTCCACTGGGATAAAAGGCAGGCAGGCACCACCACACCCAGCAAAACACTATTTAGTAAAGGGAAAATTATTCTTGTTGAGAAGTTAATTTTAGCATATAAATAGATTCTAGAACAACTATTTGAGCCATTTTACTTTTGCTACCTAAAATCTATCATTAAATGCTGCAATTACACATACACAGAAAAAAAATCATGCTTGTTATCAGAAAATGGATGGCTTGAGTGGCAAAATTAAGTTTAACAACAACAAAACTTTAAAACTCCATTTTCTACCAAGTCATTGATGACATTCTGTCCTTGTAGGTTGGTGCCACCTAATATAACACTGGCACCTCATGGGCTCCCAGACTTTTAAAATTACACTCTTGCGTTTTAAAATTTATATATTTTAAATTTTATGTGTATGAGTGTAATGCCCACAAGTAAGAGCACCAGTATTGTGCAGTGCCCACAAAGTTCAAAAGAGGGCATCAGATCCCCTGGAACTGGAGTTACAGATGGTTGTTAGCCACCATGTGGGTTGAACCTGGGTCTTCTGCAAGAGCAGCCAGTGCTCTCAACCACTGAGCCAGCCCCCATATTCTTGCATTTTATTATTGGGTTTAGAAATCATGTGGTAGTCCGACTTATCATTAAAGACTTACTGAGCATGTAACCTGTTTTTAAATTAACTACAGACAGAAGATAATTGAAGAAAAATTTCAAATTGCTTAATTATCCCCTGTATTCTTAGCTATGACAGATATGAGTGTCTAGATTTTGCTTTCAGAGTGGGTTTTCTAAAAACCTGTAATGGAAGTTAGCTGCTTCTAAGCAGTTAAGAATAACAAGAACTTTTTTCATGCTATTGGAAAATAACCACCAAGCATAATGGTACATGCCTATAATCCCAGAACTTCAGAGGCTGAAACAGGAGGACTGCCATGAGTTTAGACTAGCTTGGGTTACACAGTGAAACTGCCTCAACACATACACACATGGCCAATATGTTCTGAAACTCTGTCTCAAAAGAAGATTATGAAGTCTTTAATGAAATTAATTTTAACCAGTTAATGATTTCCTAAATATTTCTTTAACCACATTCTATGAATTATCATAAAAATAAGTAATATTGACTAATTTGTCGAGTACTTTGTATCCATTAACTCCTGAAAACGTGATGAAAAATGATTTTATACCCACTTTGCAAACGAGGAAGCAGACACAGGAATTTGCTCAAGGTTCTAGTGCCAAGAGAAATGAAGACTCCAAAACAAGGCAACAGTGCCAGCTTCACAGGTGCTAGTGCATAGGGCCCTACATTTGGCTTAATGCTTGCTGTTACTCTGAACTTCTTCGTAATTTAGTAAGGAGCCCTGATTTTGAATTTTACATACATTACCACAAATTACATCACTTAGTGCTGCCAAGGGTGGATAACTGCAGACTGTGCTCTGGACTGGGTAGTATAGATGAATTCTTTCACTTCACTGTTTAAGAGTTAAAAGGTTAGAGCAGCACTTGGCTGAAATAAGAATTTCAGCCTGATCAAAAATATATTTAAGAGGCCAGGGTGATAGTGTAAATCTTTGATCCCAGCACTCGGGAGTGTGAGGCAGGCAGATCTCTGGTGAGATGAAGGCCAGCCTGATCTACATAGCGAGTTCCAGGCCAGGAGGGGCTACTGGGAGACCCTGTCTCAAAAAGACCCACCGCCCAAAAGCTAAGTGTGTGTGTGTGTGTCTGTGTCTGTGTGTGTGTGTGTATAAGAAAGCAGATAAAAGAATCCATTAGGTAGGCAACCAAACAGCTCAATGTGTTTATGAGCTATTGTTCCAAATATCCAAATAGCCATACCCAAGGTTAACTTGATCTCACTCCTCGATTAGTAAAATTCTGCTGGTGTGCAACTAGTATGATGGGAAGGGTAAAGCATGATGTGATTTGATACCAAATTCCCAAAAGGACGTTAAAGAACTATGTAGGTCATTTGAGTTGGTTTACAAA